GTAGTGTAGTGTAGTGTAGTGTAGTGTAGTGTAGTGTAGTGTAGTGTGTGTACATGTGCATGTGTGCCTGTCCATGCTCTCCCATGTAGAGGGTGGAGTTTGACTTCCGGTGTTGTCTTTTGTTGCTATCCACCTTACTTTTATGAGACAAGGTCTTTGAACTTGCAACTTGCCACTGTGGCTAGTCTGGATGGCCTGCACACTCCGGAGATCTACCTGTCTCTGCAGCCCTGACACTGGGTTTACAAGAGCACACCACCATGTCACGCATTTATACAGATGCTAGAGATCCAAACGCAGGTGCTGAGGCTGGTGTGGCAAGCACTCACACACTAACACAGTAGTGGCTCTCAGCCTGTGGTTGCTGGGGATTGGTATTTCTTTCATTTGGTAGAACCTCTTAAAGTTTGAATGACCCTTCCACAGGGGTCGGATATCAGATATCCTGCATACCAGATATTTACACCATGATTCATAACAGTAGCAAAATTACAGGTATGGAGTAGCAACAGAAATAATTTTGTGGTTGGGGGTCAGCACAGAGTGAGGAACTGTATTTAAGGGTCGCAGCATTGGGAAAGCTGAGAACCGCTGGTCTAAGGCTTCCTCCAACCCTGTTGTATCTGCTTCTGATGCTTGCTTGCATTGTGTTCAGGAGTGACCTGCAGGGTAGTGAGTGCTGTGTTTAACATCACTTCCTGGCAGTTCCTCACATCAGGAAGGGAAGGGGTCAGTCGCAGGTTTTCCTTCACTCTGCTGCATCTGGGAAGATGCTGCTGGGAAGTGGTCTTTACACTAATCTGTTCTTACCTCCCTGCTGCTGGAAGAGACTCTGCCCTTTGGGGTGCCCCCTCTTGTACTGTGTGCCCTGTTCCCACCATGTGAGCTCCAACCTCGTGTGGCCTCAGACCCTCTGCCCCCAAATCTTGGAGTAAGTCACACGAGTGAGCGGCAGGACCCTGCCAGCGTGCACTCACGTTGTGAACATTCGGTGTACTGAGGCTTCTCCGGATGTGCCTCGTTTTGGTGGAGAGCGCTTCCTTCACCGTGACTGCCTGTAAACACACAGTAAAGCAGAGATAACAGCTATGACTGTCTCGTACAGCTATAAACCGGATGTGCATTTATTTTAGAAGACCCAGAAAACACAAATGTAAAAACCACTTCAACTGTACTTGCACAAAAAACAATATTTGTAAGACTGGTCCCAAGACCACATGGATTTAATACAACAACAACAACAAAAAAAGAAAAAATAAACCCAGTCTTTCAGATACATTAAAAATTCAAAACACAAACCAGGAAAGCTACTGAATAGAAAACATGCTATGAGCTGATGCGAGTGTGCAGAAAAACAAAGCAAAAACACGCTAGGAGGTGATGCTGCTGGGTTTCTCTTGTGTCCTGATTTCCGTGTGTTCTACACTAAAAGGAGACTGTTTTGAAAAACACCAACAGCACCTCTCCAGTCACCCAGCACACTGTCAGGTCCGCTCCAGCTCCAAAGGAACAAGTACGGTACACATGTCTCAGCTGCTGGTGCAGTATTTTATATTATTATTTTTTATTATATTTTCTGATATGGAGGATCTCAAGTAGCCTAGGTCAGGTCTGAACTCACGTAGCCAAAGATAACTGAATTTCTGAGCCTCCTGCCTCCACCAAAAATGCTGAGATTCCAAGTGTACATGTTTGTACTGGAGTTCAAACGCAGGTTCTCAAGCATGCTGGGCAAGCGCTCTCTCAACTCTGATGTGTTACTTTAAATCACTTGTCACTCTGGCAACTTAGATGCCTAAATATTAGGAATCGAGTGATAAAATGTGGTTCGGCATAAGGACTCCGGACTCCACCTACTTGGGCGATGCACGGCTTTAGACCACTGTCTTGTGGGGAACGTCTCATGGCCTCAGTTTTCTCTTTGGAAAAAGGAGTTACAACAGAACTTCCACCCAAGGGTAATCAGGACCATTAAGCCATATAATGTACTTACATCATTCGAACATAGTGCTTCGGGCTTAGTGTGGCAGCACATATGTGTAATCCAGCACTCGAGAGCAGAGGCAGGAGGATAGCTACATGTTGGAGACCAGACTAGTGTACATATCGCATTCTAATCCAGACAGGTCTCCAGGAAAGATGCTTTATCAAAACAAATAAACACATACACCACACATCACACACACACCTCATAGCAGACACACATAGAACACACATGTACAGCATACACCACACACAAACAATACACATGTACAACACACACCACACCACATACATAAACAACACACATGTACAACATATATTATATATATACAACACATTATATACAAACATGCACACGTACAACACATATATATATAGCACACACAAACACGCACATGTACAACACATATATATATAGCACACACAAACACGCACATGTACCACACACACACTCACAGCACACATACATACAACACACACATTCAACACACATGTATAACACATACCACACCACAAACAACACTCATGTATAACACACATTATACACATTCAACACATAACACACAAACAGGCACATGTACAACACACATATATGTACAGCACACATAAGACATACATGTGTACCACACACACACACACACAAACACACTCTCGTGTCAGAGTCTTTTCACTAAGGAAATGGCTACCCATGCACTCCCTCTCTGAGGAACTCTGACAGGTGTCTGCTTCATCTCTGTCCATCTCTGGGAAAAGCTGGCAACGGTATCCTCAGGACTAGAGGTCAGCTCCTCACCTGCCGGAGCCGCTCCAGACTTAGGATGTTCTCGACCTGCAGCACACCCCGCGTGTACTTCTCGATGTATGTCTCCCCATCCAGAGTGCCTTCGTTCTCACTCCGCGCTGCCAGGAGGGCCAGGGTTTCCCGGTCCTCAATCTCCTCGGTCGCCTAAAGGCACAGAAAGGAGACGACTGTTTTTCTGTGAATGGTGTTTCCGTGAAGTGTTGAGACATGCTCTCAAACACTGAGAGCCGACACTCCCCTTACACTCCCATACTGGCATCTGCAGCAGCAGCAGCAGGCGTTACCTTTGGGATATTGGATACTATCTCATAGGTCACGCCGCAGGAATAGCATATATTGATCAGTGATATTCGTCTCTTCAAACTCTGGGTGAAACTCTGGTAGAAAAGGAAAGGCAAGCTGGGTTAAACTGTGTGGCAAATCTAAAACAAATACTTCATACTCTGCAAACTGGAAAAGTATTATAAATTATTCAAATAGAATAAATATTTTCAACAAAACAGAAAAAAACAACAACAAAAAAAACCACCTGAACTTAAAAAAGAACCTGGCATGGTGCCTCACATCTAAAAATCCCAATATGTGGGAGGCTGAGGCAGGAGGATTTTTTTTCTGTTTCAAAACTCATCTGGGTCACACAGTGAATGTCACAGTCTGAGGCCAGTCTGGACTACTGAATGAGACCCTGTTTCAAGTAACTCACTAAATATTAAATTAAGAAAAGAAAAAGAAAAGAGCAGAAAAGAAAACAAAAAACCTAGACCAAACGTTAAACCTAGAAATCCGACTTTGGTTGGCAAGATGGCTGTGTGAATGGAGGCATCGGCTCCCTGCCTGGTGACTGGAATTTGACCCCAGGACTCACACTGTGGGAGGAGCTTACCTACTCCTACAAGCAGACCTCTGGCCTCCACACATGTCTTATAGCACACAAGTGCAAACACACCCTAAACAAATATATAAACGTAATAAAACTCTCTTTTAAGACATCTTCTCCCAGCCTGGTGTATTGATGCACACTTTTAACCCCAGCACTCAGGGGCACATCTGTGAGCTCAAGGTTTCACCTCTCTGTGAGCCTGGATTGCATAGTGTGTCCCAGCCAAGGCTACCCAGGGAGACTGTGAAGAGGGTCAGACAGGCAGAGGCATGGCATCCCCGGATAATGGCTAACTGCCCTTCATCTCTCCAGAGTTCAGCCAGCTGTCCTTGGACAGTCTGAAGAAAACAGTTTTGCAGACAGCACCTCTGCCATGGAGTTTGGCAAAGCAACAGGAATCTGCTTTGCCATTAACATGACTGGGCCTCCATATCAGTTGCTACCAGCATAGTTGGCTATAGCTGCCGCCTGCAAATACTGTAGTTTTTTTTTTTTAAAGAAAAGGTCCATTTTATTTGTATGTGTGTCTGTCTGGGTATGGGTATGTGCATGTGTGGGGGGGGTACCTGAGGAAGACAGAAGAGGGTGTCAGATCACCTGGAGCTGGGGTTACAGTCCAATGTAAGTCACCTGACATGGGTGCTGGGAAGCAAATTCTCTACATGGGCAGCGAGTGTTCTTAACTGCTGAGCTGTGCTTCTAGCCCCAAAGACTGTAGATATCCTAACCAGTGAATATGATAAGGTTAGAGTCTGTGGCTAGCACTTCCTTCTGCAGTTTACATCTGGCCACCACAGTCGTGGGTTCTACCACTGCTGTCTACTAGGGTTACAAAATATGACGTGACACAGAAGAGATAACCTGTGCCCTTGGAGGCTTTACGGCACGTCAGCCCAGTCGTCACTACCTGCTTGTTATAAATATTGGCTGCAATCCGCTTCCGCAACACCAACTCCATCGCGGCCGGGTGGCTGAGCTGAACGGTCGTCTTCACAATCAGGTAGATCCTTTCGTTCTGTGGTGTGACCCGGTTCAGGTGAAGAGAGTCATGTACAGAGGAGTCCCAGGAGGCTGTGGCTGAAACCTGGAAGTGACAGAAAGTTGGGGGACAGAAGTAAGCCTCCTCAAGTGGAGTGGTTTATGAGACATCCCAGAGAAAGACAATCAATCCTACTTGGTACTGTCAAACAGATTTCTTCCTTCATCTGTTCGGAATGGTGACAAAGATGTCATTTGTTCAATGCCCCTGTGTCCCCTTCTCCCAGAGCTGACCACAGCCGTTTAGTGGGCTGGCAGGGTTCCTGTGCTCATGTGAAGACCCCAGGGTGGGGAGGGGAATTACCTCGTCATCACTGTGCTTCATGATGGGCAGGTAGAAAAACTGACTGCCATGCTCCTTGGGCAGGATGGAGTTCACACCTGACGCATGGGGGCCGACCAGCTGCTCATTGGCACTGAGGTCATCCGCTGACCAAGGACAAGGGAAGCGATGAAAACAGAGCAAAGAAAGTCAGCTTTGAAGCAGCACTGACACTGTAAAATATGCCTTTTACATTTATTTTTCCCCTTCATTCTTTATTGTTTTTTTTTTTTAATATTAGTTGAAAAAAAAAACAGTCTAAAAAGTAATGGGTTCCAAGATAGCATTTTCTCCTCTGACCCTGCTTGCTGGTTTCTCTCTTCCTGTTCCTGTTGTCATGTCACATGACATGTCACATGACATGTAGTCCATTCCCTCTCTTCTTCTCCCTACACTCAGATCTCTCTTCTCATGATGCTCTTTCTAGCCCCTGCCCCACCCCCTTATCTCACATAATAGGATTTTTAAAAATGTGATGGCTCAGGGTCTGAATTTAAGAACTTATGCAGGCTAAACACATGTTCCATCACTGAGCTAGCTACTCAGCCCCGAAATACACATAAGGTGGATAAAGTATACTCCTGGTTTTGTTTATCCTTTTATTTCATATCCTGAAATTGAAACAGATACTCAAAGATTCACAATAGCTATTATTGTTTTAAAATAAAATCACAGTAGTCAAAAAGTTTTTTTGGGAGCTTCCTATAAGATAGAGTATCTTCCATGTGTAGTCTTTTTACCCTCTAACTACCCAAAAATGTTCCCTAAACATATATTTTTAGTTTCGAATATTAAGGTTACTGTCCTACTTAAACTCATATTTCATCCATCCATCCATCCATCCATCCATCCATCCATCCAACCATCCATCTATCCATTTTTGTGACAAGGTCTATGCAGCTCTGGTATCCTAAAATTCACAATGCAGACCAGGCTGGCCTCACACTGATAGAGATCCACCTCCCTCTGCCTCCTAAGTGCTGGAACTAAACATGTGCCAACATGCTTGCTTTCTTTCCCATCTATGAACTCATACAGGGGCTGGAGAGATGGCTCAGCGGTGAAGAGCACTGACTGCTCTTCCAGAGGTCCTGAGTTCAATTCCCAGCAACTATATCGTGGCTCATAACCATCTACAGTGGGGTCTGATGTATCTGAAGACAGCTACAGTGTATTCATATACATAAAATAAATAAATAAATAATTAAAAAAAATAAAATGTTAAAAAAAAAGAGTTCACGCAGACGGGACTTCGCTTCTAAAGCACCTTGAAGACCATTGCACCTTCCACACTGACGAGCAACTGCTACCCTTTTCAGTTGTGGAGGCTGAGCCCAGTAGGCAACTGCTCTACTACCAAGCTAAGTACCCAGCCCTGTCCCCTTAAGAGTTTATTTATTTACATGCAGGCCAGTGTCTAGTTGCAGGTTCATGTATGCCACTGCACGTGTGTGGAGGTCAGAGGACAGCTCTTGGGAGTTAGTTCTCTCTTACTGTGTAACATCTGGGGTCAAGCTCAGGTAGTCAGGCTCCTCCATACATGCCTCTACCTGATGAGCTACAATGACCCCACCCCCACACATAAACACAGACACTTTTACTTTGACACAGACTCTAAGTTACCCTGGCTGGAAGTTTTTATCATCTTTCTTTGTTTCTAAGATTTATTTATTTATTTATTTATTTATTTATTTAATGCATATGAGTACACCCCCATTGCTCTCTTCAGACACACCAGAAGAGGGCACCAGACCCCATTACAGATGGTTGTGAGCCACCATGTGGTTGCTGGGAATTGAATTCAGGACCTCTGGAAGAGCAGTCAGTGCTCTTAACCGCTAAGCCATCTCTCCAGCCTTTGTCTTAGCTTTTCAAGTAGCTTGGGGGATGACAGCCTCCAAAACTATACTGCGTGGTGGTGGAAAATAGTCTGAACTTAGGGCCTTAAGCATGCTAGGGTAGTGGTCTATTGATCACTGCAGCAGAACAACTCTCAGTGCAAGGTGAGAGCACGGTCATTTATGGTCCCTGAACCGCTGGAGGTTGAGGGCTAAGGACATTAGTCAGACATGCAACCTCTCAGCCCTTGTCAAGCTTGACACAGAATCTCCGGGGCTAATCCTTTTGCAGGTTAAGTTCGTCACTGCTTATCTCAGACCACATGCTTTGTGTTCTTATTTTCAAAGTCCTGGCTGCTTTGTGTGAACATCTCTCCTCCAGTGACCATATGCCATGCTTATAACCGAAGCCACACTGTCACCTAGTTTGTCATATCAGTAATTACCAAGGCAATTTATGCACCAAGATACCACAAGTCTGAGGAGATGACCGTCTTAGTTGAGTTCGATAATCGTGGGATGGATAAGTGTCTACTTACCGTTCAGATCCAGGAAGAGAACCGGTATGTGTGTTTCCATCCCAGGAGGTGGGACCCTAAATTGAACAGCAAAGTTTAATCATAAGAACATGTGTGTTTTATACTTGGCTGACTAATAAAGTGCTGCAGAGCCATGGAAAGAGAGGGGACCCACTGTGGGGTTGTGGAACCAACACATCATACCGTAACATTTCTTTATTGTGCTTATTTTATTGTGTATGTATGTGTCTGTGTGTGTGAGGGGACACACACGCCATGGCAGAGGACAACTTGTGAGTCTGTTCTCTCCTTCTACCATGTGAGACCAGGGATTAAACTCAGGCTGTCAGATAGCAAGGCCTGCTAAGCCACCTCTCCAATGCCTATCTTTTTAATTTTTAATTTTTAATTGTTTAAAGTAAAGACACATTATTTTTTTGACTCCTGTGTTGACACAAGTCATGGGAATTACTTTGACATATAAAAGGACTGCCAGTCACAGACATTACAAAGACTAACTAAAACAATCAAAAAAGAGTTCAAGGGGCTTGAGAGATAGCTCAACTGTTAGGAGTACTTGCTCCTCTTTCAGAGGACTCAGTTCCCAGCACCCCACTGTAGCTCACAATTCTCTGTAACTCTAGATCCAGGGAATCAGACTCCGGATACCCTCTCCTGGCCCTCTTTGGGCACCAGGCACACATGTGGTACAGATAATATACATGTAGGCAAAACAGTCAAAACCCCTAAGAATGAAAAATAAATGAAATAACACAGACAAGTAAACAAAAGGGACAATAAACAGAAAGCCCCAAGGGAGTGAGCACAAGCCGTGAAACGTGGTGCTGTGTGCAGCAGAGACCAGGCAAGTGTGTTGCTCAAACCGGCCCAGTCTCAGCAGAATCACCTCACAGGGCTCTGAAAGACCTCCGGTCATGTCCTCCCTCCTCCCTCTTCTGCATCAGATCTAGGATGGTGACATTTTATGAACACCCATGAGGATGTTGAGGCTGGAAAAGCACATCACACAAGGGAGGCTGAGGTGAGGAGGATTGACTAGGAAGCACCCTGAGGGACAGTAAGGTTGGAATGAGCTGAGTGCTCACAGGGAGCACCCTGCAGAGAGAGAAGAAATGGCAGGCTGCACGTCCATGTCTGCACATCAGATCCTCCCACTTCCTCGAGACCGTGACATCGATCCCAATTCTATTATCAGGAGAGGCAGAAAGACCACTAATGTGTCTGTGACTGTCTAGAACAGATCTGGACGAGAGGGTTCTGTGTTCCAGACGGATGCTGGATTTCATCCTAACCACTCAGAACAACGGCTGGGATACAGGACGGTGAGTGTTTGCCTCACATGAAGGAGGCCCTGGGTTCTATCGCAGGAAGTCATAACAACAAAAGGCAAAAACCTCGAGCAACAACAACAACAACAACAACAACACAACACGGAAGTCAATGTTCAGGACAGGTTTCTGCAGTGAGAATGAGAATTAGCTACCATTAAATAAGTCTGCACGAGAGGTACTGCAGATGTACAGTATGCATTATAATATATATGCCATATCAGACAAACAACCTCTTTATGTGCATTATCTATAACTCTCAACAGTATACAAACAGCCCCACTTACATACCAGGGGAGTAAAGGTAGAAAGAAGTTTAAGAGATACAACTAGGAGACTGTGGTTAAGTTAGAAGAGGACTTGCCTAGCACGCACAAAGCCCCGGATCAAATCTCCAGTGTGGAATAAAATGGGTATAGTGGTAAATACTACAACTCCAGCACTTGGGAGGCAGAGGCAGAGGGATCAGAGGTTTAAGGCCGTCCCTTGGTTACTTATTAAGTTTGAGGCTACATGGAATATGTGAGACCCTATCTCCATACCCACTCACAACAAACAAGGGCTGAAGCAGGACACTAAATCCAGGCTATTCTAGACTTGAGGACAGGCAACAGGCTGTTTCTTCTTCTTCTTTTTTTTTTTTTTTTTGGTTTTTCGAGACAGAGTTTCTCTGTATAGTCCTGGCTGTCCTGGAACTGACTCTGTAGACCAGGCTGGCCTCGAACTCAAGAAATCTGCCTGCCTCTGCCTCCCAAGTGCTAGGATTAAAGGCGTGCGCCACCACTGCCTGGCAGCAGGCTGTTTCTTAAGAGCAGACCAAGTACTGGCTGGGTGCTCAGGTCGCTGACCTATCCCATCATGCTTCAGTGCTTACTCTATACCAGTGATTCTCAACCCATGGGTCTCGACCCCCATGGCAAACCTCCAGAAATACCTACATTACAATTCTTAACAGTAGCAAAACTACAGTTATGAAGTAGCAGTGAAATAATGTTATGGTTGAAGAGGGTCACCACAACATGAGGAACTGTATTAAAGGGTCACAACGTTAGGAAGATGAGAACTACTGTACTGTAACATTAACACTGGCCAAATTAAGCACATGCCAGGGGAAATAGGATCTATTTCCTGTGTTCTTCCTGTATGTTCTGACACCTCCTCCTCAGTCTAGGGGGAAGAAACAGAATCCAAGTTGCTTGTGCAAAGGAACAGGGGACTGTAGACAGAATTTTACTCCCAGTCAGGTGACCTTTGGAAGAAGCTCCCTGCGACTGGGAAGTTATAAAGAGAGCAGTCAATGCAGGAGACGGGCGGCCCTTCCCTCAGCTGCAGCTCTCTGCACAGCTCTGGCCACAGGTTATGCCCAGCACCCCGACAGCCCTGCAGAAAGAAGGACAGGCTTACCAGTCAGCAGGTGCTCCTGGGATCCCGCTGCCAGGGGCGGGCACCAGCACGGCATTCCTCTCCTCCGTCAGACCCACCCACTGCTCCACCAGCCTGGCTTCTCGCTCCATGTCGTCTTCTGTTTTCTCTGTAAAGTGACAAGAGGTCATGACTAACAGCCAAAGAGAAAGGGCAAGTGCCAAATTTAACACAGCTAGATTTTCTCTCTGGGACGTCCAGAATGGTTTATATGTCTACCATGTGCCAAAGTAGAAAGTTTGGTTCTGAAGATCAAGCACGAACAGTCACCCTAAGATAGGATGGGACACCAGCTCCAGGGAGCAGAGGCCAGAGGAAATGCACAGAGCAGGGGCAGTGACCGGGAGGTCGGTATGTGTGTGTGTTTGTATGTGTCTGTGTGTGTCTATGTGTGGGTGTGTCTGTGTGTGTGTCTGTTTGCATGAGTATGTTTGTATGAGTGTGTGTGTGAGTGAATATGTGTGTCTGTGAGTGTGTGTCTGTGTATGTGAGTGTGTAGAGGGTTATTGGAGCTGTATCTAGGGAAGGGTTATAAGTACACACCATATCTATGTTACACACTTGCTAGAATGATCCAACTTATCACTGGGTGTGATGTGGCTTATAAAGTGACAAGCCATGTTACAAAGAGAGACAATTTGAAGGTCTCATCTACTTTGCTCTGTGAAGTGACAGTGAAGTCAAAGCAAGAACTCAAGGTTGGCTTGGTCATTCATTCATTCATTCATTCATTCAGACAAGGGTTTCATTACGCAGCCCTGGCTGGTCTGGAACTCACTATGGAGACCATGCTTGCCTTGAGCTCACAGAGATCCACCTGCCTCTGTCCCTCAAAAGCTGGGATTAAAGGTATGAAGCACCGGACTTGGCTCACAGGGATTCTTTTTTTCATTTTCTTTTTTTCCCTTTTGGCCACTGTACGATACTGAAAAAAATTACCAGTGGAAGAGTTTATTCTCGTGTCCAATTTCTTTCCCATGTATTTATTTAGTGTGGGGGATGGGAGGAGCACATCACAGCACATGTGTCCATGAGAGGACGGCTGTGACTCAGTTCCCTCCTTCTCCCATGTGGGCTCTGGGGACTGAACTCGTGTTGCAGGCTTGGTGGCAAGTGCTGTCAGCTGCTGAGCCATCCTGTGAACCCCATCACGTACCTTTTTTATTGCTGACTTTTTTAATCTGTTCATCTAAGTATTCCCGTCGTTTAATGAGTGCATCTGACCATCTCTCTCTTACACAATTCAAGTCTTCCTCCTGAAAACGAGAGGGAAGATTTTCTCTATAGAACATGGAGACAATGGCTTATTTTGTATAAAAAATAAAGATGTTTAAATAGATTGGGGAACTTTTCATTAGGAAAGGCCATTGAATGTCACAGTGATTAATTAATATGTGAAAAAGCAGAGGTTGAATGCTCCATGCTGACCAAGGATGCTGGTACCCAGAAATCAAAGTCCCTGGATCTTCAGAAGGACAGTCACACTAAAAGACAAGACAGGCTCAAATGATGCTAAAACAGGAAGATTTTTACGCTGCAGGATGATTTTTTGCTATATATGCACGCCCATAGTCTGTGTGCATTTGTATGGTAGTGGTTCATTGAAAGGAGTGTGATTTCAAGCAGGATACCATAAGCAAAGCCCGAAGCGCAGACCATCAAATGGTAGGGAGTGGCAGGCATTATGTAGCCCATAGTTCAACGGCCTTATTATTAGTACATTTTTTTTCCACAAAAGGCAAAAAAATAGGTCAGCAGAAAACCTTCAGGACTTGCTGCAAAGATTTCACAGCCAACCGTCACCACAAGGATACCCAAAAATCTCCCATGCAAGATCTCCCATGCAGTCAGCCATGCTGGAATAAATCCCAGAAGCAGCTGCTGGACTCCACTGTGAAAACAGCAGGAAGCATGCCCAAAGCTGTAAGACGTTAGTCAGTGGCATAGCTGAGACCTAAGAGGATGCTGACCTTTCTCCCCAAGGTCTGGTTTTGTCCACTTTCAGCCTTTCTTAGTAAAATTATACGTAGGGAAGGAAAACCCATCAAGTCTATCCCTGATGCTCCTTGGCCTAATTCTAACAAGGACCTTGGGTAGACAGACGGAACTCAGAAGCTTTGTCTACAAAGTCTCCACAGCTGGCACGCAGGAGGGCTCACCGAGAACCCATTTTTTCCACCTGAGAGGGAAAGCAGTACAAAGACTGGGAAATTGTACTGGCTGGTTTTCTGTGTCAACTTGACACAAACTGGAGTTATCACAGAGAAAGGAGCCTCCCTTGAGGAAATGCCTCCATGAGATCCAGCCGTAAGGCATTTTCTTAACTAGTGATCAAGAAAGGAGGACCCATTGTGGGTGGTGCCATCCCTGGGCTGGTAGTCTTGGGTTCTGAAGAGAGCAGACTGAGCAGGCCAAGGGAAGCAAGCCAGTAAGTAACATCCCTCCACGGCCTCTGCATCAGCTCCTGCTTCCTGACCTGCTTGAGTTCCAGTCCTGACTTCCTTTGGTGATGAACAGCAGTGTGGAAGTGTAAGCTGAATAAACCCTTTCCTCCCCAACTTGCTTCTTGGTCATGATGTTTGTGCAGGAATAGAAACCCTGACTAAGACAGAAATCATGCCTGAAACTTTCGTCTTGGTGGACTGCTTCGACCACACCCCCTCCGTCATCTGTGGAGGCTGACTAGGGATATCTGTCACCTGCTCACCCTCCTCTCCTCCATTTCCAACAAGAGAAAGCTGCTACTTAAACTCAACATGGTGAACCAAGCTTGACCTCGAGGAGAGGGGAAACTAGTTAATAAAACGAAACAAAGGTCTGTGCATAGTCTCCAAGCCTGCTGCCTAATAAAAGTGCTTTTTAAAGGTCAAATGGCATTCCAAGTAACATTCATCTTCCAGAAGGGAGAGGCAAAGTGGAGTTTAATGGAGGACAGACAAGAGTGGACCAGACGGCTGTGAACAGGAAGCAGCGTGCTTTTTGAGGTCATTCATCTTAACACAGCCATACAGCCTCGGTTGGCAAGGCTAACTGGTCACTGGAGCCGGCAGAGCGAACAGTGCAGTGTCTGCTTACAGATTTGTAACAGGAAAATCGGGAGAATAATATTGTATCCTTGATCACATACAAAGCAAATCAAAAGCAAGTGAGAAACCGCACGCTCTCACTCCGGGGCCCTGTCTCCACCTCCCTGGCCTCTGCTTTGCGAAGGCTGGCGATTAGCGAGAGCTGTGCCCCATGCACGGGATTGATTGACAGCGGTGGCAATACCTGATAACTATCCATATCACCGCCATCCTCCTCATCTCTCTGGTGGGGAAAACATAAACAGAAAGGACATGCATTTCGTTCTCTCAAACAGCACAGGGAGAATAATTTAACACGTTACAATGGACGCCTCACACAACATTAGCACCACAAAGCATTTCACTGAATCCCCAAAGATTAGGAAGGGTTAAATTCTTCTGTCATCTGTCTCTTTCTCTGTGCGTGTGTGTCTGTCTGTGAGTGTGGGTTCAGGGGCTCACACTCTGATTGTGAGCCTTGGAAGCAAGCACCTTTCTCATTGGGTCATTTTAACACCCTAAGAATTATTATTATTTTTTTAAGTAAGGAAAACAAATATTTTAAAAGAGAACCTTTTAGAAAAGGATTGAAAGCGACTTCCCTGGGCCAGTCCTTATGCTGCTGTAATGGGTGACGTGTATTCCAGGAAGACTGTCATGGGTGATCTGTATTCCAGGTAGGCTGTCTGAGGCTTGGGATGGTCTTAGCACGACAGAAAGGCTAACCTACAAAGGATTTAGAAATCCTCTTCTCGCTGAGACCCTACAGGATGAAACGATTAACCCAAGGTTCTCGCAGAGGCAGACACTCAGGACAGAAGCTGGGACTAGTCTCCATCCCCAGCAGCCATTCCTCGGAGTCCATCACTCATGGATGAAGCTGCCACAGGAACGCCTGGGAACCTGAGGCTAAGGGCACACAATGTTCTATGTGGGTGCCTGCAGGGGCAGCTGAACCACTGGAATGTACTGGCTATCAGTGTCCACTGTGGATGGACCACAACTGCCCCAAAGCCATGGCTGACTTTCACAATAATTACCCAAAGTAATAATTCCGGTAAAAATGTTAGGCAAGACAAAGCTGAAACCAAGATTATAGAAACCCTGGATGATGATAATTTTTTCTTCTTCTTCTTCTTCTTCTTCTTCTTCTTCTTCTTCTTCTTCTTCTTCTTCTTCTTCTCCTCCTCCTCCTCCTCCTCTTCCTCCTCCTCCTCTTCCTCCTCCTCCTCCTCCTCCTCCTCCTCTTCCTCCCCTCCTCCTCCTCCTCCTCCTCCTCCTCCTCATCATCATCATCATCGTCATCATCATAGTGACTGGGTCTCACTATGTAGCCCTGGTTGGACTGGAACTTACTATGTAGACCAGGTTAGTCTTGAACCTACAGTGGTCCTCTTGCCTCTGTCTTCCAAATTCTGGGATTACAGGAATGCTTTACTGTGTACTTTTATTTAAATCTATAACAACCTTTTTTTTTTTCTTTTTAGTGACATGAGAAAATATTAGAGTCGTTAAAATGCAGTTACAATTATTTTCACATGTACACTTCAAAATACATGTCTTTTAAAGCCCGTTGTATTATCACTGGCAGTTGTACGATGAATGTGTTAAGTGGTAGCTGGATGCTGAAAGAGTTGATCTTGAACTGATTTTCTTTATGTCAAAGAACAGACAACTGGAATATAACATCACATTTTAGACTAAAAAGGTACTTTCATCAACCCAAACAGAGCTTTCAGGCTACACCACCATTGTATAGTGTACTGGCTTCAGCAATCAAGTACTTTAGAGAGCACAGTACTGATCCAATAACGACAGTCTTTAGACAGGACCTTGAACATGGTAAGGGAAATGATCACAGCCCGATTTTGTGTGTCTAGCACAAGATTTTCTCTTGAGGTACTGAGGAATGAAGCCAGGATTTCACATGTGTTTACTATCATAAGCATGTGTCTTACCATCCAACCCAGGTAGGATGCTCTTAAGATACCTGCGGCATCAGGCTACAGTTAACTCTTTCAAAGCCACATTTTTATCAAAACATCAGTTCTTTTCAAGACAGGGCTTCACTACATCTCCTGGCTTGCCTGGAATTTGATGTGTAGACCAGTTTGGCCTTGAATTTACAGAAATCTGAGTATCTCTGCTCCCTAGAGGTGTGCGGCACCATGCCCAGCTCTCTCCACCCCACCCCAAATCAGTTTTAACTCAAGAGGTAAAGCTATTTTAAAAAACTATAAACAGGGGCTAGAGACATGGCTCAGTGGTTAAGAACACTGGCTGCTCTTCCAGAGGACCCAGGTTTGATTCCCAGCACCCACATGGTGGCTCACGACCACCGTTAACTCCAGTTCTAGGGAATTCAAGAACCTTTTCTGGCTTCCATGAGCACCAGGCATGCCGTGCTGCACACACATACACATAATCAGAACACCTGTACGCATAAAATAAAATAATAAAAACCTTAAAAACTACAACGAATTCTTATAAAACTCTTGAACTTGGAAACGTTTAGCAAAGCTGATGATTTTCTTTGTGGAAGTCAACGCTTAAGTGACCTGAATCCCATGTTTTATCTGACACTGGAGGTAGATTGAGCCACAGTTTTATCTGACACTGGAGGTGGACTGAGCCACAGGTTTATCTGACACTGGGGGTGGACTGAGCCACAGGTTTATCTGACACTGGAGGTGGACTGAGCCACAGGTTTATTGCAGGAAGAGACTCTGAGGATGAGAGTCCACTCCATCATTTTAGACAAGAAAATTCAGTGTTTAAGTGAATCAGGAAGTGGATGGAGAACCTGGGTCTCCTGACTGTGAAGTCTTGTGCTCACCCCAACTGCCACTCCCGTGGCCCCTCTAGGAGTTACTGGCTCTGGGAGGGGCTGGCCTAGAGCGAGGATATCCATAATTCAATTCCTTACTCCAGCCTACAAGCACACAAGCGTGGTAGAGAAGTGCCCCAGACCACGTACCCCACCTCCTTGTCCTTTGTTCAATCTGAGGAAGCACGTAGACCCTGAGCTACAGGGATGTTTGGTAGAAAGGGAGGAGAGCAGAGTCTAAAAAAGCCCCAGGACTCTGAATAACCTCCAGCTTTCAGGAAAGTCTGCCCAGACACCACTAAATTAAAGAGAAACCATGGTAGAAGATGAACCATTTTTCAGGATTGGCTGAGCTGGTACCCAGACTCCTCAGAAAAATGGAGGGAGGTATTTTCTTGCAAGTCAGAGAGATGTTCTCTATCACACATAACAAGAGGGGACCCCAGTCCAACTGTGCCCAGTCCCTTGAAGCCCATACATTCGCCCAAATTATAGCAGGAGGACAGTTATTCAAGTTTATTCTCCTGGGGACACAGACTAGCTTTCTGCACTGCCCATCCTCCAGTGTCTCATGTAGCTCAGGCTAGCCCCAAACTATGTAACTGCAGCTGAGAATGAGCCTGAACTCCAGTTCTCCTGCCTCCACATTCCAAGTGCTAGGACGACAGGTATGTGCCACCATACACACCATCCTTTTGTTTCTTAATGAAAGATAAGACCTGAGGGAAGGTGTACAGGTCAGTTTCTTGTACTCTGAAATAAGATTTATATTATACATCAATTTTTGTCTGCACTGATTTTTAGTTATACATTTTTAATTAATATATTGTATTTTTAACATGTGCATGTTATGTAGGTATGTCCAAGTGTAGACATGTGTATGTGCGTGCAGGGTCCCTCAGAGGCCAGAAGGTGGTATTGGACCCACAGGAGATGGAGTTACAGGTGGTCATGGGTTGTCTAACATGGGTGTTGGGAATTGAGTTTGGGTCCTCTGTAAGAGCATTATGCATTCTTAACCAATAGGCCATCTTTATAGTTCCCTGATCTTTTTTAAAATAAAAAAATAATAATTTCTAAAATACTAGGTATAGATTTCAGATCGGTAAGCACTCTCCAACCAAACTACACCGCAGACAGACTTCGGTACACAGTCCTTCAGACCCGTGTCTTACCTGGTAGCTGTCCAGCCCTCTTTGCAGCTTGGTGGACCTGGCGGTCACACAGCCAATGGATACTGACAGGATAGCTTCAACCATGAGTGGCAGTGTCCCCGACTGCTGTACAGGTTTGACTGTGACCTGTACTCTACGGGAGTGACCCTGCAGAGGTGAAGGCAGTGAAGATGCCAGGGACAGGGATGGGGGCAGAGGAAGGAAACAAGGGGAAACGGTTTGAGACCAGACATACAAATAATTAGGGTATTCCCATAAACTCTAAGAGCAGAATAGAGAAGAGACATGAAAAACAAACCATCTAAAAACTTCCTGGTGTTTTGAATATGCTTATCCCATGGGAAGTGACACTGACAGGAGGTGTAGCCTTGTTAGAGGAAGTGTGTCACTGTGGAGGCTGGGCTTTGAGGTCTATATATGCTCAAGTCTGGCCAGTGTGACACAGTCTCCTGGCTGCCTTCAGATCAGGATGTAGAACTCTTGGCTTCTCTAGCACCATGTCTGTCTACATGCTGCCATGATTTCTGCCATGATGGTAATGGAACCTCTGAAACTGTAAGTCAGCCCCAATGAAATGTTTACCTTTATAAGAGTTGCCTTGGTCATGGTGTCCCTTCACTGCAATGAAACCCTAAGACAACCTTATACCTGTCTGAGTTGGAAGACACCACCGGTGTTGACGTCTTTTGCCTGGTGGAGCTCCACTGCCGCGTAGTCTCCTAGCTCGTTCAGTTCCAGTATGGAGATCCACATCTCTATTCTCCGGGTCACTTCATTCCACCTGCAGAAACCGCATCCCAGCAAGCAATGAATGCATCATCCAGGGCCTCCACAAGTGACAGTCACGAACATCCAATCACTAAGCATGTACTGAGTGGAGGCACCGTGTCAGGGATGTCTCACAGGTTACTTCCTCATTGAACGCTCACACGACCCCATAGGCTGTTTAACCAGACCAGACCTTATGTTTAAGTGACGGATACAGATTGGGCGTAGAATTCCAGGAGCTTTGACAAACCCAAGTCAGCTCTGCCTGTTTTAAAATGTCACAAAAATGAAACCATGTGGTATGGACTCTTGAGTCTGGTTTCTATCACATGGCACAGTGGATGAATGGTTCTTTCTTTTTCTGACAGGGTCTCTCTGTATAGCCCTAGCTGGCCTTGAACTCACCGATATCTATTGTCTGTCTCCTGAGTGCTGTGACTCATAAAGGCGTAAGCCACAATGCAGGGTCTCACATCTATCTATCTATCTATCTATCTATCTATCTATCTATCTATCTATCTATCTAT